AGAGCCCCCAGGAGCCAGGACAGGCCAAGAGCCCCACTGTACTGTGCCAGCACAGGGCTAGCACCCAGGCAACCTCAGGAAATGCTTGAATGAACGAATGAGTCTTACTTTTGTACCTAGTTATTTACCAAGCCCTCAATATGCAATGGGTGCTGTCTGGGACACAGATGACTCACGCTATGCCCCCCACAAACCCTCAAGTGGCCCACAGTATTTCTAGGCAGTGGAGTGTATTAGAGACAGGCTGCCTGGATTCAAACCCCAACTTTGCCACTTACTGGCTGTGTGAACTTGAATAAGCTTCTTGGGCTTCGTTTTCCCTTATGTAAAATGGAAACAATGATGATCCCTATGATTGAGCAGGCTAATGCACATAAATGGTCTAAAACAGTGTCTCTAATACACCAAGTCCTCAATATAGCCAGTGGTAATTGTCATAGAGAGGAGACAGAACCACAGACAGCCGTATCACAGAATAGAACATTAGAAAATGCTCATGGTAGCCCCAGGGAGGCTTGCAAGAGAAGCAAGACTTGGGGGTGGGGGGTAATCAGGGAGTGCTTCCTGGAGGAGGTAGCATTTGAGTCCTGCACCCAGGAGGCTTTTCACGGGGAAAATATGGTTTGGGAGGAGTGGAGGGAGAAGAGGCATACTCTGTGTCTCCCCCAGCTCTGCTGCCTGCATGCGGACATGCTGGGCTCCCTGGGCTCCAAGGAGGCCAAGAAGGCCTTCCTCGACTTCTACCACAGCTTCCTGGAGAAGACTGCGGTGAGAGACCTTCAGGCACCCCAGTCCCCCACCCCCTGCTTGGCTCTGAAGAACCACCATGGGCTCCCAGCCTCCACCCAGCTGTGGGCAGTGTGAAGGGTGACCTGACCTGGGATGACTGCCAGCCCCAGCCTTCCCAGCACCCTCCCTCCAACTGTCCTTCCTATTGGGCCTCCTGAACTGCATTCCGGTCACTCCAAATCCTCCCCTTCCCTCCGGTCTCTCTCCTGAGCAGGTTCTGCGGGTGCCAGTCCCTCCCCACATCTCCTTTGAACTTGGTAAGGAGGAGAGTGGCGTCTAGGATGGGGAAGGGGTCTCTAGTAGGGACCAGCCTCCTAGGAGGCCCCAGGGAGGGAGGCTGCACTCTATGGAGCTCTGCTTAGATAGCCGAGGTTCATCCATTCCTTCCTGGTGGTAGCAGCCCAAGGAAGCACAGCTGTTAGAGTCCAAGGGTGGGTGGTACCGCAGTCCAAGTGACCCAAGAGCTGACCCCCAGCCCATGTGTGTCCCTGCAGACCGCACACGGCCCGACCTCATCTCTGAGGATGTCCAGCGGCGGTTTGTGCAGGAGGTGGTACAGAGCCAGCAAGCAGCCGTGGGCCGGCAGCTGGAGGACTTCCGTTCCAAGCGGCTCATGGGCATGACGCCCTGGGTGCAGGAGCTGGCCCAGCTGGAGGCCTGGGTTGGGCGGGACCGGGTCAACTATGAGGCACGGGAGCGGCATGTGGCCGAGCGGCTGCTGGCCCACCTGGAGGAGATGCAGTGAGTGTGGCCTGTGCTGGTGGGAGCTTCGCCCCTCCCCAGCTCCTGGGCTCCCTCTTCAGCCTCAGGGTTCATTTCTTAGCATCTGGGCTCTTCCCCCAGGCACTGGCATCTTAAACTCATCCAGGCTCTGAGTCTGCCGTTCCCAGCTTTGAGGTCCCTTGCAGTTTTTTGGTCTTGCCTGTGGTCTCCACTTGGGCCCTGTCCTCACGCTCCTGAGCTAGAGATCCTCCTTCCTCTTGTGTTGGTCCTTCCCAGTCACTTCAGCAGTATCTTTCTCTGCCTCTTCTCTCCCTGCCTATCCTAAGGGACAGCAACCCAGAGATGTGTACTGGGTGCACAGGGACCCCAGGCTTAGCAAATTTGTCACAAATGTCTTTCTTCTTCCTACAGACATACCATCTCCACTGATGAAGAAAAGAGGTGATGGGAGCAGGGAGGAGGGCAGGGAGAGGGATGTGGTCTCCTGGGTCTGAAGGAGGAGGGTTCTGAGGGCCTGGACTCCTGATGGTGGAGGGACTGGAGATCTGCACTCTTGGGTCCAAGGGGAGAGAGGGCTGGGGGCCTGGATTTCTGGGCACTGAGCAACATCCCTGGCCCTTGTCCTTTTGAACCCTCTTGTCTTTCCTAGAGTCTCACAGGAAGTAGCTGTGGGTTGGGAAGGGAAGGCTAGACTTTTGCCTCTAGGGGCATTAGTGTATGTCTGTATCTGTGTCTGTGTGTGTGTGTTGGGACCCTTAGCATCTACCATCCTCTCCCCACAGTGCCGCTGTGGTCAGCGCCATTGGCCTGTACATGCGCCACCTCGGGGTGCGGACCAAGAGTGGGGACAAGAAGTCGGGGAGGAACTTCTTCCGGAAAAAGGTGCTTTCCTCCCTGCCCAAACCTAACTCTTTCCTCTCCAGAGACCCCCTTACATAAGCCTCATGCCTCTGGACACCTAGGGTCAAATTCTGCTTTGCTGGTGCCTAAGAAGTGCTCTGCCTCCTCTTCCCCTCCACCCTCCCACAGGTGATGGGGAACCGGCGGTCAGATGAGCCTCCAAAGACCAAGAAAGGACTAAGCAGCATCCTGGATGCCGCCCGCTGGAACCGGGGAGAGCCCCAGGGTAAGATGGCCCTGCCTTTGCCCCCTCCTGTCTTTCACGGGCTGCCCCCACCTCACTGTCCCATTCTCTCTTGTTTCAGTTCCAGATTTTCGACACCTCAAAGCTGAGGTTGATGGTAATGGAGTTATAGCCAGAGCATCGACCCTGGGGGCCTGAACGGGGAGGGGGCTGGGGGCCTGGACTCCTGGGTCTGAGAGAGGGAGGGGCTGGAGGGCTCCTGGGCCTTGAGGAAGGAGGAGTCTCCTCTTGATGGGGAGGAGGGGGCTGAAGCACAGCATCTTGGACCTCCCCCACCATGCAGTTGTGAATTAGAGTCTCTGTTCTCTCATTTTGTTCTTTCTCCCTTGCTGTTTCCCCAGCTGAGAAGCCAGGCCTTACAGACCGGAAGGGAGGCCTGGGGATGCCCTCTCGGGACCGGAATGTTGGGGCTGCTGGGCAGGATATCTCTGGAGTCTCTCTACACCCTCTGTCTGGAGACAGCCCAGACCGGGAACCAGGTGAGAGTTTCCCGGACCCAGGGCCGCCCCCAGTGCCACCCCTCACACAGACCCCTCATACTCTTCCCTGTGAGACCTCCCCATCTTTCTCGGCATCTGCTCCTCCCTGTTATTAATAACCTTCCCCTTCCCTCAGTTTACCCTTTCTACACTTTCCTCCAGGCTCTGACCTCTCTCCAGGTGCTGTGTCTACCACCTTGGCCCATGTATTCCATCAGCCCCCAGGGGCATATTTCCCAGAATCCTCTCAGCACATGGCCAGTCTGCCCTCTGCACTACAGTTCTGTGCCCCTCTAAGATGGGGATCCTGCCAGCCCCATTAACTTTATCCCTCACAGTCCTTAGGCCTCTATGGCCTTCAGCCCTTGAATCTCAGACAGTGGCTTGGTCAGGCCTGAGTTCAGATCTCAGCTCTGCTGCTCATTTTTGTTATATCTTGGAGATCACACCCGTGTCTGAGCCTCAATTTCCTCATCTCTAAGTGGCGTATGTTTTCCTCCCACAAGGCCCCGACTTTGGGTCAGGAGAATGATTGGATGTGGAGACATCACAGCCTCCGGTCTCCAGTCCCCTCCCTGATGTCAGGGGGGCTGCAGTGTGGTTGGGTGGGCATGCATGGGGGGCACCCCAGTTCTGTTACATATTCACCCACCTGGCCCTAGCTGCCCATGGCTGTGTTCTCTGAGGTCTTAGCATCTGTCTTTCCCCCACTGAAGTACAGAGCCACTGTGTGATTTCTGCTGAGCACTGGGAAGCTTTAGTCCACCCATTCCATGGCAGAGGAAACTAAAGCCCCCAGAGTGTGGGTCTTGCCACCGCAGGGGCCTTCCAGCCAACCTTGCTTCCTCCCTCTATCCCTGCAGGCATGGACGCCCCATTGGAGCTGGGGGACCCATCCCCACAGGGCCCGATGAGCCTGGAGCTCCCAGCGCCCCCAGAGAACACTGACGAGGGGGCTGATACAGAAAGGTGCCCAGGCCAGGGTGCAGGGGTGGGGCTGGGAGGGGCAAGGCTATCTTCCTAGGGGCTGGGGAGGGTATGGGGTCACTGCCGCCACCTGCACCTGCCTGTCCCTGTTCCTCCTCCTGCTTTGCTGTAGGCCTTGCTGTTCCTCCACCTTCTTTCCTTCTTCCTTTTTCTTTTCTCCTTTCCCTCCTCCCTCATTGCCTCTCCCTTTGCTCTTCCTTCATTTTTTCTCTCCTTCCTCTCTTTCTTCCTTTCCTACTAATTTTTTGCCTTCTCCCTCCCTCCCTCCTTATTTCTCCTTCCAGCCTCATTTCCCTCCTCTCCTTCCCTCTCTGGCTGGGCTCCTCCCTCTCTCCTGTTTTCTTCACCCCCCTCCACTTCTCCTGCCTCTTTCACTTCTCCTTCCCTTTTTCCTCTTCTCTTTCAAGCCCCTACCCCGCCCTGCCCGCCTTGCTCTGCCTCCTGGTGCCAGTCCCCAGTCCTCACCCCTCTGTGCTCCATGCCTGGGGGCCCTGCCCCCCTTACAGTTAGGGGGGGCAGGCACTGCCCCCTGCCTGTCCTTGTGCTGCTGCTTTGGGGATCATTGGAAGGCGTGGGGAGGTGGGATGGGTTCCATCTGGGTCCACCTCTGACCCTGTGCCCCTCTCTCCCCAGAAGGTGGAAGAGGTGGGTGCCTGGGCCCTGGGCTGGGGGAGGGCTAGTCCCTCCCCCATTTCTCCCAGCTCTTCCCCTCTCCCCATGGCCACTCCCTCCCCTTCACCCCCTGTGAGGGGTGGGTGGGACGTCTCCCTCCCAGTTGAAGAGCTAAGTATTGAAATCCTCCCCTCCCCCAACCCCTTGTTTCCATCCTCCTGCCTCAGGGAAGGGAGGGGGTCAGTCCTGCGCTCCACACTGGGTTCCCCTTCCCTTCCCCCACCACATTCCAGTCTCCCTCCTGGCCACCCCCCACCACCCCATCACCCCTAAAATCCCACTACTCCTAATTCTCTCCTTTCTTCTGTTGCATGTTTGATCCCTGTCTTGGTCTCCCCTGTCTCTGTCCTGGTCTCTCCCTGTCTCTGTCCCTGTCCTGGACTTGCCCTGTCTCTGTTCCTGTCATGGTGTCTCCCGTCTCTGTCCCTGTCCTGGTCTCTCCTCATCTCTGTCCTGGTCTTGGTCTCTCCTTGTCTCTGTCCCGGCCTCTGCCTGACTTTGTCCTTGGCCTTGGGGTCCAGGCTATCAGGGCGTCTGGGGCGCTCAGAGAGCCTGCGGGTGAGTGACCGCCGCCGGCCTTCCCGGGGCAGCCTCGGGGCTAAGGGCCGGGGTGGGGGCCGCTCCCGGAGCGACGTGGACATGGACCCCAGTTCCGCCACAGCTGTGCTAGGCCCAGCCCGACGAGCCACGTACGTCACTGTCTCTCTTTGCCCCCATCCACTGAGGCAGCCTGGAGAGTCGGGGGAGGGGTGTTGTTGCCAGTCACAGAGAAATGGGCATCGGATGTGGAGGTCACTGAGAGTCAACTGCAGTCTCAGGCCTTGGGAAATGGGGGGGTGGAATGCTGCTTCTACAGATCTGGGGACTAGTCTGCAGCACGGGCCACCCTGGAGGTGTCAAATGCCGAGGCCATGGAGAGAGGCTAGATGTTAAAGGGTTGAAGGCTCCCACCTGGGATACCCCAAACTCAGACCCTAATGAGACCTCTGTCCACAGCCCTGAGCCTGGAGATGAGGGGGAGCCAGGGCGATCAGGCCTAGAGCTGGAACCAGAAGAGCCTCCTGGCTGGCGGGAGCTTGTCCCCGCAGATACCCTGCACAGCCTTCCCAAGAGCCAGGTGAAGCGGCAGGAAGTCATCAGCGGTGAGTGCCACCCCCACATCCACCCCACTGTGGCCCAGGACACAATCCAGCTCTGGCAAAGGTAGAGGCCCACGCAGTAAGATGTTTCTCTTGGTATTGTTTACCATAGGGAGAACTTGAAGGCAGCTTCAAATTCCAACTTGTTCCAAGTTCAAATTGTTCCAATAGAGAACAATTTGTTATGTAAATTATAGAACAGCTACTTGATGGACCCATGGAATGTGAATGTAGCTGTCAAAGTGACATTTCCAAAGAATTTTTAGTAGTGCAGGACAATGCTGATGTTAAGAGGCAGGAACAGTATATGAAATTGCATTTCTAAGCCAGGTGCAGTGGCTCATGCCTATAATCCCAGCATTTTGGGAGGCCAAGGTAGGAGGATCACTTGAGCCCAGGAGTTAGAGACTAACCTGGGCAACATAGCAAGACCCCATCTATGTTCAAAATAATAATGAAAAGGTAATTTTTTTTTTTTTTGAGTTGGAGTCTCACTCTGTTGCCCAGACTGGAGTGCAGTGGCTTGCTCCTGGCCACCACGGCCTCAACCTGCTGGGCACCAGCGATCCTTCTGCCTCAGCCTTCCAAGTAGCTGGAACTACAGGTGCACGCTACCATGCCAGGCTAATTTTTTTGATTTATTGTAGAGATGAGGTCTCACCAAGTTGCCCAGGCGGGTCTCGAACCTGTGGGCTCAGGCAGTCCACTCACCTCAGCTTCCCAAGGCTCGGGATTACAGGCTGAGCCACCGAGCCCTAGGAAGAGCATTTTAATGGAATTATTTTATTAGTATAATCTTAATCACTTAGGGAAGAAAAAACGAAAGTTTGAGGAAATGATCAACATAACAGTGTTTGCTCCTGGGTGGAGAGAATTGATAGTATACTGTTTCTGTCTTTTTTTTTTTTTTTCTCCTGTGCTTTTGAATTGTGTGGTGGACAGAGGAGCAGTGGCAAAAATAGAAAACTTTTAGAAGCTTGTTTGAAAGTTTATATTACAGGTTACCTAATAGTAAGGAAAGTGCTCATACAGAATTTTTAGGTCAGTAGGTGAGTACTTTTTTGCGTTGCACAGCCTTCTAAGGATATATTAAAAACATTGCTGGGTGTGGTGGCTCACGCCTGTAATCCTAACACTTTGGGAGGCCGAGGTGAGAGGATTGCCTGAGCCCAGGGGTTTGAGATCAGCCTAGGCAACTTGGCGAGACCTTGTCTCTACAATAAATCAAAAAATTAGCAGGGTGTGGTGGCACATGCCTGCAGTTTCAGCTACTTGGAAGGCTGAGGCGGAAGGATCACCTGAGCCCAGCAGGTCGAGACTGCGGTAACCATGAGCGTGCCACTGCACTCCAGTCTGAGTGACAGTGAGACTCCCAACTTAAGTAAAAAAACAAGTAAATAAATAAATAAAAACATGAGCAGTGCTGATAGAACTTTTTGGAATTATGGAAATGTGCTTTCTCTGCACTGTCCACCATGGCAACCACCAACCACATCTAGAGCACTTGAAATGTGGTGAATACAACTGAGGACTGAATTTTTCAATTTCATTTTATTTTAATTAATTAAAATGTGAAGAGCTATATGTGACTGGTAACTACTACTTTGCACAGCATAGGAATTTCTCTCCCCAGAAAATATGCATAACATGCAAAATCGTGCATTTAGTCTCAAGCGATTTCTGTGGCTTGCACCCTCTTGCATGCATCCTTGGTGGTGGTCTCTGAGTCTGAGGCTGTCATCTGCACATAGAGGGAACCATTGCACCAGAAACCAAGGCTGAGAAAATGACTAGATAGTTAGATGTGAAAAAGTGGCAAGCTTGCTGACAGTGGGGCGACCAACTTGTCCCAGTTTGGCCAGGACTTTCCCAGTTTTATCACTGAAAGTACCAAATGAGCAAACTGGGATCATTGGTCACCCTGACTGACTGCCACAAGAGGAAGTTAGTAGGTCGAGGAATCCCTCAAGGGTTATTTAAGGGGTAAATGACCCCACCAGAGAGAGTTTTCCTGCCAACTTCTAGGAAGCATTCCTCTGGCTCCGTCCCCTCTTCCTCCTGCTTATTCCCCCAGCCTGTCCCTTGATGCCACTCCTTATAGTCTGCACCCTCTCCATTGTGCTTCCTACTTGGGTGGCCCCACAGAGCTGCTGGTGACCGAGGCAGCCCACGTGCGCATGCTCCGGGTGCTACATGACCTCTTCTACCAGCCCATGGCAGACGGGGGCTTCTTCCCCCTGGAGGAGCTACAGAACATCTTCCCCAGCCTGGACGAGCTCATCGAGGTGCATTGTGAGTGCAGGGCTGCGGCCCCTCTGCGTCCCCACTGCCATCGCCCTTCTTTGAGGCCTTAGGGGTGGCGAACCTGCAGCCCAGCATGATCCCCATGAACACCCACTACAGACCGCCTCTGTTCTAGCATCAGGGAAAACCCACCCCAGACCCCCAGAGTTCACTTCTAGCATATGGGGGTGGGGGCAGGCTCACTGGCCCCCAGGATCAGACATAGACACCTGCAGCCTGGCCCCTGCCACTTCCGACCAGGCACTACATGCCATCCTGGGGCCTCACGGAGCACCCCCTTCCCTCACTGCCCCCCACAGCCCTGTTCCTCGATCGCCTGATGAAGCGGAGACAGGAAAGTGGCTACCTCATAGAGGAGATTGGAGACGTGCTGCTGGCCCGGGTGAGGGTGCCCAGCCCCCTCCTCCCAGCCAAACACCTGGAACCCAGGTCCTGGGGCAGGTCCCGAGCCCTCCCCACTGGTGACCCCAGGGTCTGGGCCCCCGAACCTGTCTTCCTGCTCTAGACTCCTATCCCTGCATGAAGCCCTGTTCTCGCCCATCCCACCTGAGTCACCTCCCTGGCCTGAATTTCGCTGTAGTTTGATGGTGCTGAGGGCTCCTGGTTCCAGAAAATCTCCTCCCGCTTCTGCAGCCGCCAGTCATTTGCCTTAGAGCAGCTCAAAGCCAAGCAGCGTAAGGAGCCTCGATTCTGCGCCTTTGTGCAGGTACGGTGGGGGAGGGTCTCCAGGGTCCCAGAGGAGGGGGGCTGGTGTCCTGGCGGCCAGGGTGAGCCCAAAGCCTGAACCATCTCAGCGCTGGCTCCCCTCAGGAAGCTGAGAGCCGCCCACGGTGCCGTCGCCTGCAGCTGAAGGACATGATCCCCACGGAGATGCAGCGTCTGACCAAGTACCCTCTGCTCCTGCAGAGCATCGGGCAGAACACAGGTACCGCAAGTCTGACCCAGCCCCTCCGGGCCTCAGCTCTTTCTCTAACCTTGACCACCAAACTAGGAACCTCCAAGGCTGGGGGTCACTGGAGCTGGTCTTTCCTGTGCCCACAGAAGAGCCCGCGGAACGGGGCAAGGTAGAGCTGGCGGCCGAGTGCTGTCGAGAAATTCTGCACCATGTCAACCAAGCTGTGCGTGACATGGAGGACCTGCTGGTGAGCCCAGGGCGGCGAGTGGTGTGGGTGCGGGGGGTGAGTTCCACCTCAGCCTTTCTCCTCTGGGTCACTCTGTGTCCGGAGCTTGGCTTGGCTCTCAGCATCTCCTTCTCAGGGTCATTGACGGTCAGGCCTGGCCCTCAGCTTGTCCCCCTCAGAGGTTGGTCTTGACCCTCAACTTATCCCCCTCGGGGTCACTGTAGTCAGCCCCAGTACCTGGCTTGTCCCCATAACACTCCTGTCTCTGTCCCAGCGGCTCAAGGATTATCAGCGGCGCCTGGACTTGTCCCACCTGCGGCAGAGCAGTGACCCCATGCTGAGCGAGTTCAAGGTGGGCTCCCCCTGCATTCTCCTCCCCTCAGCCCTTCCTACCCATCTGATAACACACCCAGGGAGTAAGAGCTCTGATCCCTACCTCACGCCCAGTGACAGCCATCATGACCCCTGATGGTGACCCCTGGCCCATGATTATCCCTGCCACCACCCTCCCCTCCCCTCCTCTTGCCTACTGGACCATCACTCCCTCCTGCCTCAGAACCTAGACATCACCAAGAAGAAGTTGGTCCATGAGGGCCCACTCACATGGCGGGTGACAAAGGACAAGGCTGTAGGTGAGCCTGGGTGCCTCAGGGGGCAGTGAGCCAGACTAGGGAGGGCACTGTGTGAGCACCTGCTACCACCCACCCCGCAGAGGTCCACGTGCTGCTGCTGGATGACCTGCTGCTGCTGCTCCAGCGCCAGGATGAGCGGCTCCTGCTCAAGTCACACAGCCGGACGCTGACGCCCACACCCGACGGCAAGACCATGCTGCGGCCCGTGCTGCGGCTCACCTCCGCCATGACCCGTGAGGTGGCCACCGGTAAGCGCATCTACCACACGGGTATGCGGGTGTCTCATCTGAGCAGAGCCACCCCATGGAGTAGGGGAGTGGAACCCTCTAGAGGGCCGGGGAGCAGGCACTCTGGGGACAGGAGGCTGCTGCAGAGGTTGAGAAGGGGAGGCTCCACCACCAGGGTCAGGTGAGCAGGGTGGGGCCAGGGGTCTAGCAAGTGAGATGAGGAACCGCCCCAAGTGTTTCCTCTCATTACACTTGGGAATGGCAGACATACTGCCAAGAAGTTGCACCAGGGTCAGGACGCTGGGAGTGACTCAGTGGAAGTGGCTGGAGAAGTTTTGTAGGTAGAGCCAGCCAGGGGACTTGTTGATTAAGGGGCATGAGAGAGAGAGGGATCAAGAGGAGGGCTTGTGGTGGAGCATTGAGTATTAGCGGGACAGTAAGAGATGAACTGAGTCTTGGGAGCCCCAAGGACACCACAACCGTGGGGGACATCTCTGTCCTGTGCTCAGGGAGGGGCACACATGGGAGGACCCTGGCTCTGAGTCCAATCTTCCCCTCCCCTTGCAGATCACAAAGCCTTCTACGTCATTTTTACCTGGGACCAAGAGGCCCAGATTTATGAGCTGGTGGCACAGACAGTGTCAGAGCGGAAGAAGTGAGAAGGGTCTGGGGTCTGAGCATGGGTCAGGGAGGTCTGGGCTTCTGGGCTCCCAGGGACAGTGGGGGGTAGGAGGCAGAGTCCAGGGGTCTGACTGCCCAGGGGCATGGCCTGCCTCCCCAGCTGGTGTGCCCTTATCACGGAGACCGCTGGATCCCTGAAGGTCCCTGCCCCTGCCTCCCGCCCTAAGCCCCGGCCCAGCCCAAGCAGGTGAGGGGGATCAGGGAGGGAGCTGGGAGTGCAGGGAGTGGGGAGGGGCTGTGGCTTCCCTACACATTTCTAGAACACAAGTTCCAGCCCTGTCTCTGTGTACACTCACGCACATATATGTGATATGTTTGCATGTGTCTGTGCATGACGACTTCCACCATGGCCCCATCTGTCTCCTATCTCCAGGCCTCTCTGTCTTCCATTGTCTGGGCCTCTCTGCCTCCCTGTCTCCCAGCCTCGACCTCTGTCTCTGTCTCCGGACCTCCCTGCCTCCCGACCTCCAGCTCTCTGTCTCCCTGCCCCTGCCACCTCCCAGAGCCAGGGGTGTGGGGTCACCCAACACTTCTTCCCCTCAGCACTCGAGAACCCCTCCTCAGCAGCTCTGAGAATGGCAATGGTGGCCGAGAGATGCCTCCAGCTGACAGTAAGACCAGAAGGGCACCAGGTGGGATGGTCACAGCTTGGGGGGAGGCGTCTACAAGAGGCCTGGTAGGATCTGAGCACCCTCCCTGTTTCCCTACCCAGCCAGGACTGAGAGGATTCTCAGCGACCTCCTGCCCTTCTGCAGACCAGGCCCCGAGGGCCAGCTTGCTGCCGAGGCCCTTCGGAAAGGTAGCCCAATCCTATCCCTCCAGGGCAGCCACCAGCCCAAACAGCACCTCTCTTGGGACTAGAACAAGGCTCCCCTGTCAAAGTTCTTTGTGTTCAACTGCCAGAAAGCAAATGTACAAAGCCCACCCTGCCTGCACTACCATCCTGGGTGGCCCCAAGCCCCTCTTCCTTCTGCAGCTACCATCCCTTCCTCAACCTGAAATTCAGCCTCTCTCTGGACTAACTTCCATCCTCAGTGCCTTCTGCTGTGTCCCAACCCTAACCCGAACCTCATCTCCATACCCCTTTTGCATCTCCCAACCCCACCTGCTCAGCCTTGCCTGGTGCCTACCCTCACCTCCAGCCCACAGGCCCTGGGCCCCTCCCCACTGCTGCCTTCCTCTTTGGAATCCCCCATCCTGAATTCCAGCCCAGTCTGCTGCATCTGTTGACTCCACTGCCTTTGCCCCTGGCCAGTGCTGTCCCTGAAGCAGCTCCTGTTTCCTGTGGAGGAAGACAGCGGGGGGCCTCCCCGAGATGGGGAGGGGGTCCCAGGGGGTGGCCCCCTGAGCCCAGCGCAGACCCAGGAAATCCAGGAGAATCTGCTCGGCCTGGAGGAGATCATAAGGCAGCTGGAGGTGGGCAGGGTGGGGTGGAGGAGACCCTGAGTGGCTGGGGAAGGAAGAGGGTCCTGGGGAAGGAAGGGGGCCCGGCTCACTGATGGCCCCCCACCAGGAGTTGGAAGAGGAATTTTGCCGCCTGCGACCCCTCCTATCTCAACTCGGGGGGAACCCTGTCCCCCAGCCTGGCTGCACTTGAGGTCCCTGCCCAGACAGGTGAGTGGGGGACCCCCAAGAAGAGGGGTCAGAGTGGGCTTCTTAGGTGCCCCTGTCCCTACAGCCCGTCTGTTTCTCTCCCTGTCTTTGTCTTTTCCCAATCTCGCCCTCCACTTCCTCTCATCTCTGTGTCTCTGCTTCACAATTTCTGGTCTCTCCCTACCTCCCTTTCTCCCCTCTCCCGGTCTCTCCCTCTCTTTGTGTGTCTCTCCCTGTCTCCCTTGTCCTACATCCCCCAGGCTTTTTGCAAGAAGGAGAAGAATGGGGGAGAGGACGTGAGGGGCCACCCCCACCCACACAGCTGCCGCAGCGTCTCACACCCCAGGGCCCAAGGAGAGGGAGCCACTGCCGGGCCACGCCTAGGAGGGGCCATCTGGGGTTACTGCCGCTCCCATTGGCCTCAGCTATCTCTCCCTCCTGCCCGCTGCTTGGGGGACTCAGGGCTTCATTCTGGAGGGCACCATGGTGACCCCCTTGTCCCAGGCCATCTCAGTATTGCCTGTGGGGGCCACCCCTCCATCCCCCCACCCCCAAGTGCCTTTGCTCTGTTTTTATATCCTGAACTGGAGGTTTATTTTTTAATATATATTATCTAAGGAGAGCTCTGTGTTTGTGAGGGTGGGGCAGGGCCTGGGGTGGCTTCTGGAATCCTCCAGGATTGGCGTTGACTTCCTGGGTCTGTCCCACCACGGTGGCTCTGTGCCTCTGTGCCTCTTGCCTGTCTCCAGGTGTTCGTTCAGTCATCCTGTTTTATCAGTTACTCCCCAGGAACGTCCACACACACTGGGTATGGCCATCTTGGTCCCCATCTCCGCAGAATCCATTGCCCCATACCAGCTCATCTGTCGGTTCCCCCACACTCCCCTCCCAGACCCCACCTCGAGTCCCCACGGTCAATGCTGGGCACCCCAAATCTCACTCACTGTTCTTTTATTTTTGTAGTAAACTCTCTGAAGGTGACTGTGGAGGTCATGGGAAGCTGGTGGGGAGGGGGCCCCT